GGTACCCAGCCTTGAAGTTTTGCTACTCAGTCTAAAGCTAATTTCATGGTCCTCCACTTACCTATATTAACTCTCTTGCCCATCCTTAAAATCCATTTGTTGCTATTTCGAGTTTACCAATATGAGGCATGTCGTGGCTAAATGGTTAAATTGTCGCACAGTCCGGTATTGAGTAAATGAGCTATAAAATATTTGAGCTCAAAAATCGCCTAAAAATCCAAAATTGTTTTTCACTATAGATTAACAGTTTAATGTCTCATTAATCATGTCCCAAAGTATTAGCTCTGGAAGTGGTTAACAAATTGTGTATTTAACGTTATTTTGATAGTTCATTCTATTAAACATATGCAAAAATAACTTTGAAAGGCAATTACTCAAAATCATGTTTATCTTGACTCTAAGAGTACTGTACTTTCATTTTCCAATAACTTAAAGCTTGAAATGTCCAGTTTCAATGAATGACCCCTCATTTTAAAGATCACATACTCAGGTATCTGAAAATTCCATTAACTTGAATTTCAATTTTTGCTACAACTTAGCCCTTTTGCCACAACAAGCCTCATATTATCACCCACATTTAGTTTTTTGCAACTACAACCCTGTAAAAGGAACTCGGAAAAAAATCTAGAACTAATGCCTCTGTGGAAGTATTTATTATTAAACTTTTTTTAGGATTAGTACTGTTATCAATTTTAATAGTAAATAAATAAATAACTTTCTGAACATTACACTAATTTTTGGGTGTACATTTAAGTAGAAATACATCATGGGGTTACTTCAATGGAAGGTCTCTGGTAGCAAATCCAAATGGGGGTAAACCTTCAGTTCATATCAAAGATGTTTACTAGACTTGGTAGTACAATGAGAATGAAAGGAGCATTTGTTCGAGAACCATTGGCAATACAAAAATATGTATTAATTTTTTTTTTAAACTGTATAATCTTTCCGTAATCTTTAAAATTTAGTGTATAATAATAGAAAAATACTACTAGTCTAATTTTAAAAGCCTTTCCCATAAATGTATCAATAAATTTATTCTTTTTTTTTTTTTTGGCAATTTTTCAGACAAAAGACGAGAAAGAGGAAACGATTCGACTCGCACTGATTGATTGATTGATTGATAGATTGGTGTCTGTGGCGGGTCCTCCAACATGCTCCTTCCATTCGATGCATTCCATCTCCTTGTTCAAGTCGCCCACATTCGAGGCTTGCCATCCCAAAACCAGCGTACTGTCGCTAAATGTTGAACTGAGTAACCTTCATAAGAATGTGACAGTATTGTATAGTTCAGTACAGAGAGTCCGCAATAATTTTCCTCATAGCTTTGGCAATAGTAAGTCGATTCCAGTAAAGCTTACAATGTTGGGAATGTTAAAAAGTCATTCTTCTTTTTGGTCACTAATGCTGGTTTTGGCTTGGCAAGCCCTATTTGGTTTTTTTTTTTTTTTTTTTTTTTTTTTATTAAAAAAAAAATTTTTTTTTTTTATTAATCAGTACATAGATAGATACTGTACTATAGATTTTGTGATTTCTGTGGCACAGGTCTAAAGTTTGAAATATCCTTAAGTGTTAAGCTATAGCTTGGTGTTTAAGATGCTTGCTTTCCAATGCCATAGTTCAAATTCTGTGAAATTGGGATTTATTCTCATGACAATGAATAACTTCACTCACTAAACATCTTAAAGAGACGTATTGTTTCACTCCAATCTCAGAAGTGGCGAGTCAATTGATGATGAAAAAACCAAATAACACAACCTACATTTTTTAAGGCTTGTTCTGCTGGATCAAAATTTACCAATTTTCAATTCCAGTGTAATTTCCAAAGAATTATTTGCTGCAGACAAATTGTATTAACTCTAATAAGTAGTCTTTAATAGTTTTCTGTCATGTTACTTCAAATCTTACTTTGTTTATTGTTTTGTTTGTTGTTTGATATAATTTTCAAACCCTTTTGCTTGGAGTTTCTACTTCATTGCATTATTTAAGTTTGCACATTTGTGGCGAAGAAAAGCCAAACCAGTCACTTGTCGCAAATCCTGTTTCAGAGATGATGGCCAAAACATGCTGGAATGTCAAAATTGTTGAAATCTATTTTATTGCACTAAACTAACCTTTATATATCTAAAAATCATGCTATCCTGTTATTTTCCCCATTTTCAATGTTGAAGCAACAATTTTTAAAGATTTGGTAACGGTTTCTGCCGGAGAAATGCCCAAAATCTTAAACTTGGAAGGCAGATTTCTCAAATATTGTTCTTTAAACAGCTGTGTATTTAAACTCCTGTAACTTCATAACAAAATGTTGGATTTAAATGATTCTTTTACTATATTATAGCTGTCATTTACTGTTTAACTCTGTATTAATAACTAAAAATTGATTTTTGTTATGAGTAGCTGGTTTGACTTGTCTTTGCCACATTTTGTTTGGGTTTGGTTTTTATGCAGGCTTTGGTAGGGAGGGGGGAGGGAATTTCCCAACTTATTGTGTAGAGTGGCAAAAAGTGCTTTGTAACTTCAAGGAAATGCACTATACAAGTAACAAGTTATTTATCAGATATTATTTCCAAACCATTTTTCCATTTCAAAATAATTAACAAATTAAACTTGTACTTCATGAACTAGTGAGTATGACCAAGTAATTATACTGTAGTCTGGAATGGTTTGCTCAGTAGCTTCACTGTAATTAATTTAAAATGTTGGTAATGGTTTTAATAATTCATGAATGAATCAATAGTTTACTTAACTGAAAGTAGATATGAAGTTTTGAAAGAACATGGTTTTTATTAATTTTTAAGTTTTATGTTTTGATGCAAATCCGTCTTGAGTATTGTATGTGTTTTAAAATGCATAAAATAAGTTTGGCATGAACCAAAATATGTTTTTATATGTTGAATTGAATAATCTGATGCATTGTGTAACATTATGTTAATGTAACGGTGCTATTTTTTCAGTTGAATAGGCATAGTAACATTAACCAAGTCTGTACAAATGTATGTGATTCCTACACATAGAAAGACTGTTTAAGTTTTATCTAAACAAGTGCTTATTGTAATGCTGCATTCACATTTTCTTGTTTTCTGTCCACACCAACATGTGCTATGACAAATTAGTGTGATTTGCCCATATTTGGGCATGAATATGTCATATCACAACCATATATGGGTAAATCATTCACAAGTATTTGAAACTTAAATACTGGATAATGTTGATGCTGAACAGGTCTTAAAAATGAATACACAAAAAAAATAGGATTGCACTTGCTACTAAATGATTTAATGTACTTTTCTTATAGCGTATGTATGTAACCCTGAGAATTACAAAATTTTTAAATGGGAGAAAAAAATATCAAAAACAATTGCACATCTAAGGGGCATGATTAATTATTGTATAGTTATTTATTTTTGATAAAAAAAAAATAATACACTATTATAATAATGCATAATTTGTTTAATGATGGGCATTGATTACCACTTTGTGGTAGTGACAGTGTGCGAGGTGTGAAACAATATGTAGCTGTGCTAGTGTTGTAAACTTGTAAATATTTAGTATTTTTAAAAAAATAAAAAATTGTAAATATCAAAAGTATAAAAAATAAGTTAAATACACTTGTTTATATAAGATGAAACAAAAGATATTTGGTCTGAGATCAAAATTTTGTACATTTTGTAAATTTATTTTTCTAATACCCTATTCAGACTACACTCTCTTGCGATCGGTTGCGATGTAATAGATGGTAATCCAAAACTGATTACTCCCGATCGCAATCAACGAGTGCATTCAGACCAACACGAAACAACTTTACATTCTAGGGCCTAGGCCTCTGGTGGCCAGGCCTATTTTGACTGACCTCAGCCAAACAGTGCCTGTGGAATTCGTTGTGATTCGTTGCGATCAGATTCCGTGGTAATCGGGAGTAATAAAGATTGTAGCACCCAATTGCAACGGGTAATAATTGCGATATCGATTACATATCGCCTACTATTGGTGAGCTTTCACATACGATTTTACTTTGCGATTGGGTGCCGCAATTGCTACAACCGATCACAATGCGATGCTAGTCTGAATGGGGTGTTAGTGAAGTTGTGCTATTAGAGCATTATAAGTTAATAATTCTGTATTAAGCACATTAATAAATATAATATTTAAAAATATTTCAGAAAAAATGTTAATAAAAACAATAATTTAAAATTGTGTTCAGTGTTTGGACTTAAGGAAAGTATTGACAGAACATTGTTAATTTACTAACTGTATTACATTCTATTGAGTAAAGTGTTAAGGTGAATGAACAGTTCAAGAGGTGAGTAAAAAGTTTAAGAGGTGAGTTTAAGAGGTGGGTGAACAACAGTTGAAGAGTAAACATTGAGTGAACAGTTTAAGAGGTGTGAGTGAACAGTGTAAGAAGTGAGTGAACAGTTTAAGAGGTGAGTGAAAAAAGTAGATAGAAATAGCTTTGTTGAATTAGATGTTTTATAAATGAGTTTCTTAGTAGATTTTTAGTTTTTATGCTGAGTAAAGTGTTAGGGTGAATGAACAGTTAAAGAGGTGAGTAAACAGTTTAAGAGGTAGGTGAACAACAGTTGAAGAGTAAACATTGAGTGAACAGTTTAAGAGGTGTGAGTGAACAGTGTAAGAAGTGAGTGAACAGTTTAAGAGGCGAGTGAAAAGTAGATAGAAATAGCTTTGTTGAATTAGATGTTTTATAAGTGAGTTTCATAGTAGATTTTTAGTTTTTATGCTGTTGCTGTTTACTGTTATTCAGTCATGTTTACTTAGTAACTAACCGTCTCGCATCGTGCAGGACGGTCCCTCATTTCAAAATGATTTTGGATGAAACATGCATTTTGCAGAAACACATGCGTGATCAGATATTTGTCACACATTTAGCACAAGTCTATGTGTGATAAAAAATTATCACAAATTCATAGAAAATGTATTTAAAATTAGAAGAAATTGTTGTTATTTAGCAGTTCAAGAGGTGTGAGTGAAAAGTTGAGTTGAACGAACAGTAAGATGGGTGAACAGTTGAAGATGTGAATGAACAGTTTTGAATCAGAAGGTGTAGAGCTGAGTCAACAGTTAAGTGGAAAAGGGAATAATTTGAAGTACTGTAAATGGGACAACAAAGGGATACACACATTTTTGTGTTAACTACTGCATAGTAATTTTCCATGTTTTTCTGTTACAAATGAAATTGCTGAATAAAATGTATTGACAACAAAGATAAAAAATACACTAGTGTATCATAAATCTGCAATTCTTTCAGTGTAATAATTAAAATGATAATTTGTGAACTTATATACAGTAGAACCCTATTAAGGAAACATCTTCGGGACCAAAAATATGTTCCTTAATATTATTGTTGTCTTCTGAATAGGGGTTGGCCTTAGTGTTAAAAGATAATATTTTCCTTTATTTCGTGCCAAAAAAAGCGTCCCCTTAATAGTGGTTGTCCCAAAGTAGGGTTTCTACTGTATATATTGCCGCATAAATATCAGTTACTGTGTACATAATAAAAGTAAAGTATATTTCAGTAAAATTTTTAAGACCAAAAATATCCTTGCCAGTTAACACAATTTTCCAATAATCTAAATTTCAGCAGAAAATTAAAGGATTTTTTGTATTGAAAATCTTGCTAAATCATTAACAAATTTTTTTTTTTTTATCTATGAAAATTAAAATTTCATGTATTTTAGGTGGCAGAATATGATTATTACGATGTGAGAGTGGACGTACTGAGTATTCGGTATGATAACATGTCAGGGGCAAACATCGCTCCTAGAATATATTTGAAAAGCGTTATTTGGATATGTGATGTTTATTCAATTCAGTTCTTATTTTGTACACTATGCATAATTCATTATTATGCACCTAATAGTAGTATATTAATTGATTGCCTCATGAAGCGTAAATTAACAAGATCTCTCTGCTGTAGCTAAACTACTCTTCAGGACGTGATTGCAGTTAAACTCGCCTAACTCGACTTTGCCTAACTCAAATAATTTATAAGATCTTATTTTACATGCCAAATTGTGTTTCCATTAATTAATGATCTGTAAGTCGAATTTTATCAAACAATTTTCAATGCCAATAATTAACTTGATATTCATAAAAATCTACCAGTAAAACTGGAGGATTTTTGTTTCATATTGATAAGAAAATCTGTTTTCTATTTATATAAATAATGTTATGTATTTTTTTTTTTTATATTCTTTGTTTCCAGGTCGTCAAGACAGTCGAATGTGCCCCATCTTAGTTCCTTTTCGAATGGTCCTGCTCTAAACCCATTACCCTCAATTCCTTCCATACCATCGTTTGGTAGCCTGCCCTCATTCCAACATATAGATACCCTACCAATAAACCAGTCTGGGGGAGACTATGCAGATTCTGCTCGTCCCACACCTAGTACATCGGTTAACATTACCCCTCCCAGTGCTGTCACATGTAATGAGGTTTCATCGAGCCAAGAGCAACCTGGGCCTACGCCTCTGAAGCAGGAAGGCCATCAGTATGCGCAAGCAGACACCACCATTGCAAGGTAAATTTAAACTGTAGTACTGTATTTGAAATGGATACGTAGTCTGATGGTTAAGGTGCCTACTCAAGATCATATTTTCAATCCTTGTAAAAAGTCGGGATGTTTCCGGGGGTGACGTGGGAGAGTAGAGTGGCCATGTATCTTGTACTTATTATTAGATTCTAAAATGATTCAGCCTTTGAAGCCCCTTTCGTCACATTTTTTAGGGGTTTCGTATCCCTGGACCACTGTCAAAAAGATTTTGGGTGATGCCTGACCTCACCCACTTTGCTCTGGTTGCGGACATAGAGAGCCCACCACTGATAATTTTTTAAGCAAAACACTAGGTTTAAGTAGTTATAGTACCTTATTTTGCCACCTTCGCCCTCCCACTTCATATTTGTGCCCCCCCCCCCCAATTTCAATACTGTTCTCCTAGATACATCACTCCCTGTGTCAGTTCATTTGATATTTACTGTTGATTAAAAATAAATTACTTATAGTTATGTTTTATATTCCTGTTTTTCTTATATGTTTTAGTTGGTTGTTGTCCATTGGGTGTGAAGATTGTACTAAGTACTTTCATGATCATAGCATTATGTATCTCTACCAGCTTGAAGACATTATGACCCCACAGGTGAGTTTCACATACAGTGGTCGCTGCCAGAAATTTCCTGGCTGATTTCCTGGCAAATCAATGAAATCTGACCAAAATCGATCAAGATGTTTCATTTTCTCAACTGATGATATAATCAATATAATGAGTGCCTTCCTTGCGGGTCTACCTCAGCTACAAACAAATGGATCCCCATTGCTTTTTCGAAGTTCAGGCTTATGGGAAATTCTAAATTTAAGGAATATAAACAATGTCTGGTGGTATAAATTCATTTTACATTATTTCTGTTATATAGAGAAAATATTTTACTACAGTTTCGAACAACTACGTTGATTTTCATCAGGTGAACGTAAAACATTTGCAATATATTGTTTCCTAAATATAGCATTTGTTATCCATGTCAGTGAAATTGAATTTGATATCTTTGATACAGGATTTGGTCGATTTAGGCATTCCCGAAGGCAAACGCGACACAATCCGCCGCGCCATCCTTGATGTACGAAGTAGCCACCACATGAATCTGTCGTCAACACCAACGCTCCAGACAGGAAGTAGCATCACCTCCAGCATGTGTGGCAATGACATGCCTGGTTTCCTGGCAACACGCTTCACTCTAAAGCAGACGTTCTCTTTCAAGATAGAAGATGAGGATGAGCAGTAAAGTCATTGTCACATAATTTCTGTCAAAATTTATCATCAAAATTATGACATTTGCACAACTATGAGGTGTCGTGACAAGATGAGTACTGCTGTACGCCATTATTAAGAAAATGAGTCTCTGGGTCGCTGATATGTTTAATTTTAAGATTTTTATTTCATGATAAACATTGTGAGTAGATTCACATAACACTATTTTTTTTTCCTATCAGAATTGATAGAAAAACAAATAAGCTATCAATTGTTTAACTTTAGAGACCATTTCACCAATATTTTTAAAACATCTGAATTTTAAAATGATCATACTCTGGTTTGGGTGTACTCAAATTAGGAACTTGATTCAAAGACCAACATAGAGCTTATAAAGAATTTCTCTAAATATGTAACTCATTCACTTATGATTAGTAAGATTCATTTTGTGACAACACCTCACATATTTTCTAGAAAAAAAAATAATTGTAAGATATAAACATTTTTCATATCCAATCTAAAACATGTTACATCTAACATCATTTAATCTTTGAACCTTTGCATCAAAAGTGTGCTATGGTATAAACAAGTTCTGTTATTTTCAATCATTACTTTTTTTCTATGTGGTACATATGACTGTACAATTCGAAAACTATAAAATCTGGTTACCGTAAAAGTGCTACATGTTATTGCCAACAGCTGTCTTATTTTTTTAATTTTATTTTTATTATTTATTTAGGCACACAATACATGTGCCAAGGATTGTCAATAGCGAATATATTACTCACCTACTTGTAGGTGACAACCCCTTACACAAGACAAACATACACACACGATGCTTTACACAAACTAAATCTCAATATGAGATTTAGGGAGTGGAGTTGTTTATGTCGTGAGAAAAAATCCTGCAACACTGACAGGAATTGAACCCAGGACCCTGGGATTGGAAGGCAAGCATCTTAACCACCAAGCTATTCAACTCTACTCCGGGAGCCTTTATAATAATTATGTTCACAACAGTGTAACGATTTTATTGAAATCAGGCTCGACGATTGTAGTGAAAATGCTGTAGCAAAGGTGTAGCAATTTTATGGAAACCAAATTTAAGAAGACTAAATGATTTCTAGGATAATAAGTCGCTATTTTGACAATCAAATGATGATGGGCCCCTCCATACATTTGAAAAATCTTATACATCTGTTCCTGTGTTAGCTTATATAGTAGAGATAATTTTACATTTGTGTTTGTTGTAGAAACATCAACATGATGTAAATTCTTGCTATCCCACATTAAAGGAGCCATATAGAGACATGCTTTGTATAGTGTAAATTAAATTTGCTTACTACAGAGTTGTGCATGTACGCACAACTTGTGTAATACAAGGCAATAACAAGGATGCTCTTCTCTACATGCCAATATCTTTTGATTTTATCTCTTTGACAGGACACTGTTCTGTACATACCAATATAGAACGGGCATACAATCCTATTTCTTGGGACTTCAGAATATTTGTTGCAAACAGTCCAAAACAAAAAAATACAATTTGCTGACATTGACCTGTATATTTTACAGAAATGTATATTTACATTTTTTTTCTATGAATTCACATTAAATATCGTTTTAGCAGTGTTCAACTAAACTAAACTGAACTAGTCAGGTTTTTTTGTTGTTTAGTGTAGGCACAGAGAATTGATGTAATTTTCCAATGAAGTGGTTCTCGTACACCATCACACACCCTCTCATCTGTGAAGTTAAAACATTTTGTGTCTGGGTCATTGTTTCTTTTACACTCACCATGGTTTGTGTTCTGCTTAATAGACCCGAGCCCATATTCAATTTTCATCCATAGACAACTTTTTGAAGAACAGCATCCTTTGTTAAAAATTGCCTAGTGTGATATTGTAAAATATTTGTGTTTCTGCTTTATTCCAGAAATTTTTTTTAAATGTAAAATAATAAAACATTAAGTGTTTATATAATGAATGGGAAGAAAGTTCTCTATTTTTCACCTGCTTTTGTAGTTTCTTTTGTTTTATACTACAATATTTAGAAATACAATTGGATGCAAGTTTATTGTGATATAAAAGAATAAGATTTTATATCAACAGCCCTCATATGATAAAGAAGTATTATAAGTGATGATATAATAATTGTGAATCTGTATTAGAAAAGTATTCTGATATACAATTCAAGATATTGGTTAAAAAATACTTGCTATTCGATTACAGGGCATTATGTTACAAGGTATTCCTGTATAGAATGTAGGTGTGTAGGGAAAGTATATTTACATGAGTGTTTTGGTGAGCTTAGGGTGAACCCTTTACCGCAGGCCTTACCAGTTCATTTCCTTTGATTCCTTGGTTTGGCTTGGGGCATTGTTTTAAAAACCGTGGACACGGGTAAACAGGAGAGATGTGTGTATATATGGAGTTGTCTATTTGCGACAACGCTTGGATGTATTGACGTCATATGGAAGATGTGGTTTCAGTTGAAAACGCAAATGAGTGAATCTGTTTAAAGCTACATCCACACTATCAAATTGGATTTGTCAAAAAAGTGTTGTATCCCCATATATAGTCTATATATGGTAATAATGTGATGTCGTCATGACTATATTTAGGCATGTCAAATACATTTTGATAGTCTGGACAGGGCATTAGATCATGTCGCACATCAAAAGCTCTCTTGAACTTTGACACTTGTATATACAGTGTTTGTATGATTTTTTGCTTTAGTGCAACCTTCCCAAACATGCAAAAATAATCATGTCATTTTGTACAAGTAAATAAGAAAAAAAAAATCATTGGTTAGAAATTTTAATAAAAGCCATACTGTATTATTAAACTCATGATCATTGTCTTTAATTCTCAGTAATTTGAGCAAATAACAATCAGATACATTTTATAATAACTAGACTTGCCACAAGTCTCTAATTTATGGATTTTTCGTAGTACATTAACGCATTTCGGAAAGCGCCACCAGCGTCAGCATTTCAACTGATTAAGACAAAGATTAAGGACTGGAACCCAGTCTAAATAATAACTAGCACTAAATCGGACTTCTTTTGTGTAATTTTTCTCTTAACATCGTTTTTATAATTGTTGTCTAATTTCTTCATTGTCTAAAGCTTTAGTAACATAGTAGTAGTAGTAATAATAATAATAATACTACTAATGCAACAGCACTTCTAATGCGCCATCTATCTAGCGTGCTATTCTGAGACGGAGGTTTTACAGGATTTGCAGTTTTACTTAATAAACATCGGTTTATTATAATATCATCATACATTAAAAAAAAAAAAGTTGCATTCAACTACAAGTTGAGGGGATAAACTAGTATACTGTAGTATAAAACGATTGTTGATGAAAAATGTGAGATTTTCCAACAACATTGTTGTAATCGGTAGTTTTGACAAAAAGGCTTAGCTTAATTTTTCACAAGTGGAGGTCCTGTTCTTACGGACCACCTGCTAACACTTTACTGCTAGCAATGGTGTATCTAAGGGGCGGCTAGGAGAAGTACAGTATTAAAGGGGCTTGGTGATTAAGTAAAGAGGTGGTGGGGGTGGTGATATGAGCTAATTTTTAACAACATTAAGTATATTCCGCTTTGAACATTTCCAAATGGGGGGGGGGTGGTGGTGTTACGAGGGGGAGAGCTTTTTTTTAGGAACATGAGCCCTTGCACACCCCTAGATATGCCACTACTGTACTAGATGACAAGGCCCTGATCAGGAGACAACTGAACTGAAAAAAGTATGTTAATCTCGGACTGTTGCTGTCCATAAGTGGACAAATATTACAAGTCCCCATAATGATTGTTTAGTTGTTTAAATGACTGATATACAATATAATGTACAATTTAGCAGTTACGTTTGAATAAAATTTTTAAAAATATAAAATATAACAATTCATATATTTTTCATACAATGTAGGCAATATAATGAATACAGTATAAACATACTGTACATCTAATCACAGTAAGTTACCACAATAACAATGCAGTGCTTCAAGGTAACAACAATAACAATAATAATAATACAGCTAAGTTAGGTAGCAAAGTTAGCGCCAAAGGAGAGACAGATGAGATGTCAAGGAACGGATTGGAAAAGCAGAAGTGGCTTTCATTATGCTGTGAAGAGTGTGGAAAACAAGATATATCACAGTAGCAATGAAGCTTAAGTTTTTTTGAGTCTAATGTAACAGCAGTACTCTTATATGGATCTGAAATGTGGCGAACAACTAAATGCATAACACATAAAATACAGGTTTTTATCAACAGGTGTCTGAGAAGGACCCTTAGAATATATAAGTAAGTAAACAAGCTTTATACAGTAGTTTTAAATTCACATTAAATTAATAATCATCTGTTGTATATGTGTATATGTTGATACCCACATGGTTTTGGTTAATAATTCAATGGAAATCACTAGCAAATGTGTCTACACATTTTACTTCTTTTCCCCCCTCCCCACCCCAAAAAAAATGTATGCAAACCGCTACTTTGTATTACACAGCAAATTAAACTTAACATATTTTTTATAAACATCTTTGCTCTGATAATCAAATATTAGCAAGGTTTTCTCCATTTTTCAAGCCTTGTTCAACTTATTTTCAATTGGCTGTTAAATACTTGACGAATTCGGTCTTGAACAAGAGCGACAACTGTGTTGTAGGCTACCATCCATTTATCTGTGTCTATCCTGTTGGCGTACCTACAAAACAATAACTGTTTATCAATAATCAAGGTAGATAATATTGCATGTGCTTAGTATTTCTATGCACTGATTTTGATTTGATATTTTATATCTGTCTAACAAGCACAGATAAAAGGAAAAAACAACTTTTGCAAAGCAATACATAAAAATAGTACAAGAAATGTTAAGAGATTCATCCCCAATATTTCCTGAGAAAAAGTCCCTTCAAATTAGGGCGGATATACTGTATTTTCAGAGAGAAGTCGTTTAAATTAGGAAATCATTACATGTTTAAGTTTATATACAGTAATAGAACAACAGTCTGCTTAACTGGTGGTAGCTTAGCTACTGTGTGAGTACTGTAAGTGTACAAGTGCAATAAACCAAGGGGATCCTTTCTGGGACGGATGCAGAGGTGCAGGAGTTGCGATCGCACCCCCCCCCCCTAAATGTTATTAATATTAAGAAAAATAATTGTTGTATTGTTAATTTAATTACCAGTAGGATTTCTAAGGTATGAGAGTGCAATGTCCGAGCATGTAGAGGTCCATATTCTCAAAATTTTCTTGCCTCAGCCCCAACCATGGTGGGTCTGGAAGTGTGAACTCTCAAGCACCCTCTACCGCCAAATCCTGCACCTGCCCCAGCCTTTAGGTCTCATAAATTCCAACCCTGTTAATTACCTCCACTATAGGAGGTTGTGTTCACTGCTGTCTTTTAGCAAGATTATACAGAAACTAAGGAATGGATTATCATAATATTTAGTGCAATGGTACACAATAATCTAAGAAGTAGATGATTAAATTTTGGGAAAGAATGGTCAAGGTCACAAGATTTCAATTTTTGTACCCCTGAGCATAAAAAAAATAATGGAATTGCCCATCATACATGGCCTGCATATTGTTTTGTATTCAGGCACAGGGCAGAAAATAATGGAATGGCCCATCATACACGGCCTGCGTATTGTTCAATATTCAGGCCCAAGGCGGAGGTATGTACTCAATGAAGTGACTGCTCTAGTCTTAACATACTGTTCATTGACAAGTGACCCTGACTGGATGGATGGATAGACTTACAGTATTCAGTGTAAAAACCAAGGATAACCCACGAAAGTCTGAAGACATATTTCCAGTGGGGTCCTTTTGGTAGGGATTGGGTAGTATACTAGTACACTACTCTTTTCCCAATAGTGTCCTGCGTGCACGTGTCATAATGGATACGAGACCAATGGCATAAACATCTCATCTGAAAGACGGTGTGCCATTGTAACTTGCATTTCAGCCCTCCAGGTAAAACACAAGAGCAGGGATGGGGATTGAAAAGGGGACCTAGAGATCTCCATGATTCAGCATGCACAGTGGCTACCACCAGTTTAGCCGACTGAGCTAAGATGCTCTCTGCATTATTAATTTGGACTTTTAATATGCACAATCATTACTCACCTCTTAAATGCTTTCAGCAAAAGATCAACTTTCACAAGATTCCTTTCCATGACAAGATCCTGAAGGAATGCTATCACATGACCAAGATCATCATCTCTGGGGAACTCACAGGTGTCCATCCATTCACGAAGGAGTGATTTAACATCGGCAAGTTCAGTAGCACCACTTAGATTTGCCCTTTGTGTCTTTACCTTGTTATCATCTTTGAAATTTTCCACTTGAACTTCACTATCAACCTTCAAATTAGGTGTTGTAGCCACTGCATCACAATTTTTGTTAACACCCATGTTTTCCTTGGTTGGACTCTTTCTAATAATATCACGAATTTTTGGCTGGTTCCTTTCAAACAGTTTCCTTGGGCTTCCTTTTCTGAGCTTACCTCGTTGTTTGGCATTAGCAAAGGGACTGATTTTTCCAGGGGAAAGCTTACAAGGACTAGGCTTAGCAAAGGAGGGCTTAGCTGGGGAGGATTCTACAGGGCTCTGTTGATAAATTTGTTCTTTTTGTTTGAGGTCTTTTTGTAGATATGCCTGTTTCAATTCTTCCTTCAGATCAGGTGGAAGAGCATCTAAACAAGAGGGTTCGATCTGTTGAGAAATTATTCAAACAAAATATTTAATTTCATGAAGTAAAAATTCTTATTAAAAATTATGAAAGATTCGGCAACGATATGGTATGAATGACACCACTTCTAAATGTGACCTACTCTGGCAAAACCAGGCTTTATTGATCACAACAAAAGTCTTCAAAAAAGCTAAAATTTCCACATATTGACAGCTTAACTCATGTTGGACTAAAAATATTACTTAATATGTCTTCGACATTTGATCTGTTTTTAACCATTTTTTAATCAATCAGTTTTTGACCTCTAGATTACAAAGATCATTTTTTGAGACAAGACCCTGTTTCTGCTAAAGTAGGTCATAAATAGTTTTAATCAGTTCTGTCAGTTGGTCCACACCACACAAGCCCCACCATGGTTGGGGCTGAGACGAGAAAATTTTGTGAATATGGACCTCTAGGTGCCCGGAAATTGCACTCTCATACCTTCAACAATTATTTTTCTTAATAAAATTTAGGGGGTGCGATCACACTGTCTGTACCCCCTGCATCTGCCCCAATCATACACCGTGTGTTCCCATTCTAAGGACTTAATCTCATCAGTGTTAAATCAGTCTTTAACTCACTTTCTGATTTAAAAGAAAATGTTATGACATGTGTATACCAACACTTCTATCTAAAGTATATTATCTTATGTTATATTTCAATCTTTGAAACTCACACATGGAAGTGATCTGTTTTGTGTTTTTCATAAGGAAACAATGTTCTGCTGTTAAGTAGTTTTTTTCAGTTTACATTAGTTTAATTGCACCTTACTATTAGCAAGTCCACTTAATTTAATAACTTTCAAATCAACAAAGTTGTGAAGATCTAATTGAAACATCACCTGCGAGAGGTTAGGAAGTGCTTCAACTGGTTCTTCGGCCAATCTCTGCCTTTCCTTTAATTTCTGTTGATTTGCCATCAACTCTTGCACAATATCCTCTGGTAATTCCTTTAGAACACTTGGATCCAAATCCAGCAATTCTTCTCTCTGTGTGAAACTACATTCTCTGTCATATTTCATAACAGCTCTTGATGTTGTTGGTTGATCTTGCATTGGATCGACTGCAGTGCTTTTGAGATGAACTGGTGTGCTTGTCAATGGGATCTTCTGATTTACATCTAGTTTTTTGGTTAGAAAGCTGTTTTGAATTTGTAGTCTGATGTCTGGTGGGAGTGCATCCAAGACAGACGTGTCAATCTGTGGGGAACAATAACCTCATCAGATCCAAATACATCTGAATATAAATTATGGAAATTTCCATTTTCCAAATTTTCCAAAAATTATGGAAAGGTAACCCATCAATCAAATATCCTTGTTAAATTTAGACAGAAGTGACAATGACATACAGTACTAAGAATTACCAGACTATAAAATATATGATTTAAATTAATATAAATATTTGATTTTGTTATCTTACTTCTGATACTGATGATGGGTAGAAATCTGATTTCTTAGCAGGTTCCTCTTTTGGTAGGGAAGGGGACATAGTTGGAAACTTTGGGAGAGGGTTTTCTTCCTGGATGATAACTGATTGCTTGATTCTAGCTCCTGACTTATGTACCACTTCTGGCATTGGTTTCAATATGTCATTATTCTGTTTAGGCTGCTTCTGAAGAAAGTTCATTATCGTTTTAGGCATGGACTTTTTAACTTGTGGTCTGACATCAGGAATATGGATCTCGGAAGGCTTCTTATCACCAATTGTTACAAAATCTTTGAGGGATTTGGTTCCAATGGCAGCTGGATGTCTTACCTCTCCAGATTCAGGAACAAGTTTGTTTATTTGGACACCAACCTAGAATATATAAAATTAAAAACCATTGTCTATTTGGCCATTATTTTGAGACAATGGCGTATCTAGAGGAGGGCACAACCCCACCCCCTAAAAGAAATTGTGGCCCCAGTCGCAATGTTAGAAACAAAAAAAATCATGCTCAAAGTTGATAAAATCGCTTATCACCATATTTTGCAAGCTATTTTCCCCCCTCACTTAATCATTGAGCCCCCTCCCCAATTTACCTTCTGCTACTGCTACTACAACCTCAGCTTCTGATGCTACAGTATTCCTACAACTGCAACAGCTGACACCACCCCCACCACTACTACTTACCCCTCTCATGTCACAGGGTTGGATCTTCATCTGCCTTAGGAGGCTTAACACTGATTCTTTGATAACCTTCAAATCATCTGTGGCCTGAGCAAAGCTCAATGATTTGGCAACATTATTGCAGATACCATGGCCTAGAAACTTTGAAGATTCTTTTGGAGCATCTGGTTTCCGAACCTTCATCTTTAATGTGATTGTTTTGCCTTTCACAGATATCTTGAGCAGACGACGATGGACCTCTTCCACAACTTCACTTACGAAATCTACTGCTTCACTTTCCTGGAGCGATATATAAAAATAACATGCAAGAATCTTTAATGGTACTTTTAAAGTTTTCTTTATTCACAGTTTATCAATTGTTGGTGTAGGCACGTATTTAGGAACTTAGTGCAGTAACTTCCCTACTCTCTGATGTATAGTTTGGTTAGGGCAGGGTTACGTGGGTCACTTGCACCTTAATAAACTATCTTCCCTTCCCCACGATCCATAGTTTGGTCAGGTTCTTTATCTTTAAAAAGAAACCTGTACACAAGAATTTTCTTTTACAATGAATGAATAAAATGTGCTGTACATTCAAATAATGTGAAAGCAACTGTAAGGCCTTGTTCAGGCTATCACATTTCATTTGACAAAAACATGTGACATACCTAAATATGGTCATGATGACATCACATCATGACTATATATGGGCATATCACATTTTGTTTGTCACATAAAATTTGATAGTGTGGCTATAGAGCTTAAAGCTCTGTCCACACTATCAAATCTTATGTGATAAAAAAGTGTGATATGCCCATATTTGGGTGTAAATATGACATCATCATGCCCATATATGGGCACATCACACAAATTTGTCACATAAAATATGATAGTGAAAACAAAGCATAAGGCAGGTCAGTGGGTCTTTTAAAAAAATTTTAATACCTTGGTGAACCTAATTCCATAATTGATCTCTGCCGATACAGACTTCCTCTGTTTTTCGGCTTGTATAGCTCGATCGTCTTGACCCCGACAGAGGTTGTACAAGTGTTTCCCAGTTTTTGCGCCAAATTCTTTCTGTAACGTGGCCATGGGCACAAGTTGTAGGTCTCCACAACTGTTAACACTGAGAGCTTCTAAACGCCTTTTCATTGACCAACCAACTCCTGAAAAACATTTTTAAATATCTGAATTATTTAAATATACACTTGTTTTATATCTAAATATTAATACAAATAGAAATCTTTTTAATTTTCTCTCATAAAATATACAAATAAAATGCATCACAAAAATTTTAAAAAAACATTACAATATAAAAAATAGTAATAGTGAAATAATAATATGAACTGTATAAAATCTATGAATTTTTAAAGTTTATACAATTTTTTTAAATATTAAATGTAAACATCCGAGCATAAAAAACGATATCCAACATCATAAAATCAAACACTAAATTAAAAAGGACTATTGCACTATTGATTATTGACTTTAATTGATATTGACTATAATTATGATTACGATTATCAATACTATTATAAATGCCACTCATGAGTGCATAGAATACCTGGTAAATCACCAACAGGCTGAGATTTAATAAAATCCACTTCTTGACCAACTTCCAAGTAATGTTGACCATTTGGCTTTGCAATTCTAGTGCTCATCCTGGCCAACAGAATATTGTGAGCTGCAATGAAATATTAATGTAATAAACAAAATTATCTACAGAGGTATTAGAGAGTGCATAATTTGTTGTATTGGTGACTGGTAATAAAAAAAACCTAGTAAAAATCTGGTTCTAAAAATTACCCACAGAAGTCTGGTCGATAACGAAGAAACAGGCACTCAAACGCATTAAGAAGAAAGTTAGAACTTACCTATACCTACAGATGCATTGCACTTTGTTTCTTTAAAAATCTCATTACGTAACAGGGATGAAAACTCAAGAGGGGTCACCTTTGTGTCACTGAGCAACTCACTTATGTCAACAAACATCTCATCACAGCTTACAGCTTCAATGTCATGAGTGTATCTGAGGAATAAAGTTTACAGTGTACATTCCCAAAACTTTAACATTTAGTATACTTTTTAGTTGTAAAAAAACAAACCCTGCCTGACATGTTGTTAGGATTGAATTATAGAAACGTGGAAGTGAACTAATAGGCAAATCAACAACTAAGCCGAAGTGGACCTTTCCTCTAAGCCACTGAATGTTTAATCCTAACAGACAGTGAATGCCACATGCCTCATCCTTGATATTGACAAGATACAATTGTTGAAAAAAAAAATTAAAATTACCTGGCAACAATTTCATACAACTTTTGAGCTACTTCTTTGTAGAGATCAAAATCATATGGTATAGTTTGAAGATCAGGACACAACTTCTTGGCTTGTCCCATGAACATGCCATTACGTACACCTGCTGCTCTTGCTTCATAACTGCAAGAGGCAATCTCTGCCGCAGAGTTGAATGTGCTTGACATCTTCTCTGTCTTATCTGACATTCCTGAGGACTTTGACATGCCATACTTCTTCTCATAGTAATCTTGTTCATATTGTTTGGCAGCTAGATTCACTTGTTGCATGCCATTACCACGAGAATGAGTGACGGCAACTGGTTTTCCTTGTAACTCTGGGCGATTTATCAATCCTACAGAAACAAAGAAGCAATCCATATCGACGTGCATAATGTAACGCTCACAACTGCTGTCCTTGGATGAGCCTGCTTTAGAACTCCCTGGTATCTTCTGAACATCCTCTTTTCCTTCCAGTGGATAATTTTCACTATCTGCTGAATAATCTTTAACTCCATTTTTCCTCAAAGCATCTCTTGCTGGGAAACTTCCATCACCTTGGTTCTGCAACTGCATCACCAGATCCTTGAACTCTGCACCCCAACTGGCTATATGGTGAAGTCTAGAGTGACTATAAAACTCTGCTACAAACTTTGGGTCACCAGCTTTTGCAGGACCTCTTCCTGCTACTTTGTCCAATGGCAATTCAAGTTTTTTAGTAAAATCTCCACAATTGGAATTTCTGTCAATATTTTTCTGAGGAAGATCTTTCACATCTTTTAACTTCTGTTCCACATCTTCCATGTCTCTTAAGACTTCCTTATTTATATTAAAGGAAATTGCATCACCTTCTTGTATATCGTCCTGTAAATTACTTTTATTCCCAGTAACTTTACTTCCTGAGATATCTAATGGCATAGATGGTTCACTCTTTGAAGTTGTGGATATTGAGGAAGCTGCTGCTGCAGATGATGATGATGGCAGGAATGATAATGACTTCTGCAGCGATGTTCGGTTTCCATAGAGCTGATATAATTCATATGATAAAAGTAAACCAGCTTTGATACTGCAAATACAAAAGAACAATAAGTCATTCAATATCACTCACATGAAGAGATAAAAAGAAAGGAATATTTGGCCATATAAGGAGATCCCTCCAATTAAAGAACACATTTCTTCACCCCCCAGTAAACACCTATCCTTATCTAATTGACTTTTCGTATTAGAGACAAAAGCTGCTAAACACCAGGAAAACCCTGGTTCTAAAAGTGGTCTTTCAATGGAGGGAGACCTGTGTGTATGTAGTGGGATTTATATAGCGCATAATACCGAGGTCTCTATGCGCTGCTAGAACCGAAAAGAAAAAAAGAAAAGCTAAACCTGGATCTATCCTAAGCTAACCTTGGAACAAAAAAAAACCAAACACAACACAAGCAAATGAACCAAAATCACTGCACTGTTCTGCAATATTTAACTATTAGAATACAAAACATTAATAATTAAGAGTATCAAGTGTTATGCATAGAATGGACTATATATCCATAAAATAGCATTGTGGGAAACTCCACACTCACCTGTCCAAGATCCACTCAGGTCTCACAACTTTTTCATCATTCAATTTCCTGATCTTGGCCTGAGGAAGGTTGGTAGCAATGATGTGTGTCACCTCTGTCTTGCGGTAGTAGTGAATAAAGCGCCCTCCGTGAACCATCATCAAGCGTTTCAGTTCATCTGATGATGGTACTGTAAGAACAGAATATAAGAAAATTAATGATAATTAAATATTGTGAATTCTAATTCCATAAATTACTCTCCTTGGGCTAACTTGAGGAGCGCTTATCAAGGGAATGGTAGCACTGACACTTCTTATAAATAATGTTTAGGTAATACTCGTCAAGGTTCCAACATACCTGGAGCTAGTTTATTTTATTATAATGAAAAAACATGCTAGCAATGACTCTTTAGTAAAATATACAGGTCTCCTCTACCAATTAAAGACCACATATGTGTCCAAGGCTTTTATAGTGTTTAGCAGCTTTGGTCTTTGATTTAAAAAACTGTAATTTAAAATATAAGCAATAGGAATTTATTTGAGGTTTGCAGAAGGGTGGTCTCTAATTGGAGGGTTTTTTAATTAAAGGAAGAATATGTCAAGTACCTCAAAGAAGGGTAAGCCTGGCTACCAGTTCAGTAAAGACTTTGAACATGTTGTATTGTACACCCTGGAATCCCAAAATAAAAACCTTATGAATGGCATACTGTACCTGTATAGCCATTGACAAAAATTGCAACACCTTGAAAAATCTTCGACTCTGCACAAGAGATCTCACGGCTTCCAGGCTGATCCTCTAAAAACTGTTCATCAAGTTTCTGCTTCTTAGCCGCCATGTAACCACCCTACAAACAAACAATAATTCAATAATTAAGCCAACTAAAAATGTTCCTGTTTTTTAATAACAAACACATTTTTTTTAAAGGTAAATCATTTTTATTGTTAAGTCCAATTTAACTTAAATTAGAAAAAAAAAATCTTCCATAAAAAATGGTATTGAAATTTTCTTTTTCCTTGCAAATTCCAAATACTATACTGTATTTCCTTGCACAACAAAAATTTTTATTGATGGCAAATTTTTAGCTCCGATGGGGAGCTCTAGAAACACTTGGCTGATTGATTGATAAATCTTTTTTGTATAAGCGGCCGTTAGGGCCAATATACTCTACAGCCTCTATAATAGTGCCCTCATCGAAGCTTTCGAGATTACAAGAACTTGTTTGTCTTCAGACACCCTATATGGTTCTATTTTCAACCAACCCTTTCCATAAAAAAGTCCTCCTGTAAAATTTTAAGTTAACTTCTTGTCAAAAAACTAGAAGACATATTTCTAAGTTATACAAAACTTGTAGTGTTACCAATTTCAGGAAGTACTGTACACTTTTTCATACAGAGTTAGTGATGCTTGGAATAATTTCCCTGATGAGTTAGTGAATGCACCTTCAATAAGTACTTTTAAAACTGGATTAAATGAATTTTGGAAGTACTAACATCTATTAAAGTTGTATTTAGGGTAGGAGGCCCTTAAGTTTGAGATGACTTGACCGGTGCTGACTAAGGGTGCAGACATCCCAATCAGTGACTAAAGTGTAACCCCCTACTGAGGTTGGGGAATAGTCTTTTTATTTAGATTTATATAAGGTCTCATGGCAAATATGACAGTGTATTAGTTTTCTGCCACCTCTATAAAAAAAATTTAAAAAAAAACATTATATACATTAAAACTCAGCACACGGAATGGATCGGTACCCAGCAAAATTTATGCCATTGTAACCAAGGAAAAGTAGGCCATTTATCCATTTATGCTTCACGATGGCCCAAGAATACAAGCAAGATACATTAAGAAATATTCTACTCACAAAGACACCCCAGCCATCGTCTTGACCTCCATGCTTCCTCCCATTTCCTTTTCTTGACATGTTCTAGTCAGTTTGGACATTGAGAATCAGGCTAAAAAATAAAAAAGATAAATTAATTAAGAAGTACTAAAAGATCATTAAAAAAGGATGAAATTAACTTTTAAAATGTAGTTTTAGACTATAACTTAACTTTACAACATTTATCTTTCTTTTCTGTGTTGTAAACCTACAGTATATTGAATATTAAATATGCAGAGGAAAACTAATAATATAAACACTCAGCATATATTATATGCTGAGTTTTTATGTCTTTAAAGGTTATTAATCTGGGGCAGATTGCTATAAAACGGTCTTAACTGGTAGTCTTAACTTCTCGAATAAAGCTGGCTTTATCACTTAGACAGTCTTACTAAAGTCATTTTTCTAAGACCATTGCTATAAAACAGTCTTCCCTAAGACCACTTTGAGTATTGAAACGCAAACAAGCACTCCCTGGTAACATAAGATTGAGGGCGACACCATGCGTGCTTGACGCACGCAAATGTATCAAAATGATGGTAAATAAACGTAGACCTATTTTTACAGACGCTGAGAAGCATGAGGAATATTCGTCGTTCGATTCTCCGACTCCGACTATGTTTTTTGCCATTGCACTGTTGAATTAATCAGCAGAACGCCATGATGAAGATGATTTAAGACCATTTTAAGCCTCCTCTGAGTAAGCTTTAAAATTTAAGATGGCTAACTGATTAGACCGTGGTATAGCAATGGTCTATAATCATAGACCAGTAGTGATGTCATGATTATAGCCGGCTAACCGTTTAAAGACCACTTATAGCAATCCGCCCCAGAAGTTATTACGTTCCGATACATCAGTTTAAAAAGCTATGATAAACTGTGGCTTCGGAGTAACTTTGAATAAGTTTCTATCTCTTTCCTTGAAATTGGAGGCGAGATCGGACCCGAATCATCGCATCGATCATTTATATGGCGCTCTACATATAGAGCACAGCGCCTAACATTAACAATTCAAGTGGGATACAGTATAATAAATTAATTAAACTATTTGATATATTTTATTGTATTTAATCAGGGGTTGGGCGACGATTTGTCCGACAAGGGGTCTGAGGTGTGGGGGGGCGCGATGTCCCCGACAAGAGCAAAGTGGGCGTGGTCTGGCGTCACTCAAAATGTTTCAAAAGTGACAGAGGGGGAAAAAAATATGACAATTTAGGGGTTTTATGGAGTCTACCAATAGGCCTATATGAAAAATAGTACATATAAGGCATATATATATATATATTTTTATTCCTAACGAATTGGGGTTTCAGGGTGCGGGCAGCTCCCCAACAGGGGGCCTGATCAACGATCAATATATCATTTTTTTTTTATTCCCAACGAATTATGGTTTTTCTCCCGGACAGGGTGGGGGGGGGAAGTCTCCCCGATGGGGGCCCGATTCCCCTTCTGACGCCACCCACCCCTGTATTCACCCCTGTATTCACTCCCGTTAACTAATGGAGATAGAAACCTCCACTAACAGCCTGGGAAAAAAACATACAAAGAAACAAAATATATGGTACAAATACATTAGACTGTCTTCATAATTATACGAGGATTAAAAAAAAAATATCAATTTCAACCGAACAAAAACTCATAACCTCTTTAATGAAACTCTCATTGTTACGTCAACTAAAGGGGAAACATATACGGATTAAGTTTTTATAGACTTGCCACAAGTCTCTAATTTATTGATTTTTCGTAATATTAGCACATTTCGGAAAGCGCCACCAGCGTGAATTTATGTCGAGAAACTTTTTGATACGAATTAGAAAATCCCAGAAAAAGTATACTATGGAATGCCAAGCAAATACACCAATGGTGCCAAAATCGATTTATTTTTAAGCATTTTCACTGATTAAGAAAGTTTAGGGACTGGAACCCAGTCTAAAGTTTTTAGTGCGAGTAACATACGAATAAGAATAAGATCATTCAATGTAAACAAAGGTACAGAATTACACTTTTGTACAAACACAACAAACGAATCGATATTAGACCTATATTGAAAAAAAGGTAAACTTTTCAAAAATTCGGCCAAATTAAATCTAGCCGTGATTTTTAAAACGTACGGCTAGGCGAATTTTCATACGGCCAGATTTGAGGAATCTGGCCGTCAAAAAGGCCAAATGGCAACCCTGATGTGATATATTTTACCAGGAAGGGCAAAGCCAAGCCTAGCCTAGGCTAAGTTCTTATATTAATAGGGGCATAGCCTAGTCTAGAGTAAGCTAGGCCCTAGGCCCTTAAAAATCCATATACTTACAAAAAGAATCATTAAATTACAAATACCAAAGGCCTACCACCGACAACAAAATTTATAATCTAAAAATTGCGCGAGTTGAAACTTGCTCGGAGAACTGACCCATGTTTACGTTTATGGACTATTCCACTAATAATAATATTACATAGCTTACGATAACTAAAATTTAAGCAAAACACAATGTAAAAGCAATCTAGAACATTGTTTATGTTGTGGTTCTTATATATTTTATATATTGCATTTATACTGTAAATAACTGAATTACGAATAAAAAGAATTTAATTACACTGATCATTATTTTCCTCTTGCATAATGGTATGTTCCAAGTTCATGGTTAGTTCATTTTGGTTGGTGGCAGCAGTAGTCACGTCGATTTTGACAGCAAAACATTGAAAATGGCGTTACAACCGGAACAAAAACAGCTCGGCTACGAGCAAACGCTGGTAAGATTTTACAAATCAAAGAATGTTTTTCAAACGACCCATTACTATGTGCATTTTAGCTGCCTGTTGGCCTTTTGAATGTCTTTAAATCCAGTCACACAATGCTTGTATGTCAGTTGGGTCTGACTCGACCCCATGCACGAGTCTCTGTTGAACGGAAGACCCATCGTCCAGGACGTCTGTGACTAGCCTATGTACTATTGCTAGGCCTAGCCTCTTTATTTAGGCTTAAATGTCGTCCGTCCTATATCAAGGGATCGGCCTGTCATTTTGCCTGCTCGTTCCGAGTTTTTTTTTTTTTACTTTAGGAAGCAGGCAGGACTACCAGCAGTACCATGTAAAATCCATTTTAATTTTAATTATATTAAAATTTTGAATAAAAAATGCCTATGCTAGGTACCACATGATAAATACAAAGTTGCATATTAAAAAAAATAGCACAAAAAACTACTTATTCTCAGTATCATAAAAAACTTTATTTGAGGAAAATTGAGCCACTGGTTACGGTTTTATAAACATTTGAAATTCATGAGCGCGTGAATAGCAAGTTGCATGTTAACAATAATATTTCTGTCACTTTTTGCCATATATTTCTGTTAATTTTTGTAAATGCTAAAAAATAATGTACATTTTGAATGTAAATTTTTACTGCAAATTACATTGGTCAATTTATAAAATAAATTTTTCAGATGACCTTTGACCCACAATTCTGAAAATAGAATTAAAACTATCCCTCACCCCCCCCCCAACTTGTGACGAATGACGAATTTCCTCTTGCAACAAAAACTAGCATCGTCTCAAAATTCTATCAAAATCATCCTATGTTTAATATCCACTTCAATCCTTAAATATTTAACTATTTTTTTAGATAATCATTAGCTAAAAGTATATTTTAATACTTTAAGTATCATTTAGTTAACTTTTTGAACTCATATTTATTTTATTTACATGAAAAATATTGCCGTTTATATCGTTAAGATCGTTATGGTATACCTCGTGTACACGATGGCCGATCAACAGCTGATCGTCGGTTTTGCGGTGCCAAAAAAAAATATTGCTATCCTCGTATTACATATTTGGCAAATAAACTCTTAGATATATAAACTAATCTTCGTTATTAAAAAATTGAACTTCATTACTCGCAATTCTCTGGAAAAAA